AAATAAAATGTTAACAAAAAAAGATTTTGATTAATATTTATATAATTACTCCAATTAATAATTATTTATTTAATAATAATAAATAATTCTTTTTTTAATTTTTAATAAATTTTAAAATATTAGCTAGTTACAAAACCAATTTTACGGAACAATTATACTTTAATAAATTAAATATACAACTATAACATTTCAACTACTTTATTAAATATACAACTATAACATTTCAACTACTTTATTAGCTATAAGTAGAGCTGTCAAAATGGGCCGGGTATAGCGGGCCGGCCCGCCAAGGCCCGAAAAAGTATAGGGCTTGGGTACTAAATTTTGAGGATTTTAGGTAAATCGTGCTTTTTAGCCCGGCCCGGCCGGGCCACAAAAAAATTCGGGCTCGGGCCGGGCTAGCCCGTTGGGGTTCGGGCTTTTCATTTTCTTCCCTCTCATTTGGCTTTTCAATTTCCCATCTCCCTTTGCTTTTCATTTTCCTACCCCATTCTAATTTCAGAGAACACATACATAACAAAGAGGGAAAAATAGAGAAAACCAACACACTACCAGTCCACAGAGAGGGAAAATTTTTAGGTGTTTCTTCCTCACATTCTTCTTTTACACAAAAAACGCATCATTACGTGCTCTGTTTCTTTCGCTTTTCTCTTAATTTGAAGATTTCAGAGACACTTCACTACCACCCAGGCAACCTTCTTTTTCTTCTTTACATCAAAATTCTAATCTAAATTTTTTTCTGCCATTTTTTTCTCTCTTAATTTGCTCCGTTTCTTCTTTACATTAATAGTTTGTTGTTTCCTCTTTACAGATTTTCATATTATGGATTACAGTGTTGGTGATTGTGAGATACTGGAAACTTCTGTCGAAGTTAAACAAAATACTAATGGAAGTGTACAAGAGAAAGAAAGTACAAATGCTTCTCAATCAGAACAAAAAGGATGTATACCTCTAACCTCTCAACTGGAACCAAAAAGTGGTAAGGCTCTAACTTCAGATGTATGGAGGTACTTTGAAAAAGTTGGTGTTGTAGATGGAAAAGAAAAGGCTAGGTGTCTAGGGTGTAAAAAATTATTGAGTTGTTCAACTAGGAATGGAACTTCACATTTAATCCGTCATGTTGACAATTGCAATAAGACCGTTAAAAATAATGATATAGGTATTATGCTACTTGATGGTGGTGGAGGGGGTTGAAAAAGAGAAAATTTGATTCTAAGGTTAATCGTGAGATGATATCTGAATTGATTATTTCACATGGTCTGCCATTTAATATTGTTGAGTGGAGGGTATTTAGAAAATACCAAAAAAAATTGAATGATGATTGTAGATTCATTACTAAAAGTGATGTGATGAAGTTGTATGATATTGAGAAATTGAAGTTAAAATCACAATTACTTGAAATTCCTGGTAGAATCTGTTTGACTTCTGATTGTTGGACTGCATGCACGAATCATGGTTTCATTTCTTTGACTGCTCATTATGTTGATACTGAATGGAAATTAAATAGTAAGATTCTTGCATTTGCTCACATGAAACCTCAACATACCGGGAAAGAATTAGCATTGAAAGTGATGGAATTTTTAAGAGATTGGGGAATTGAAAAGAAGGTTTTTTCTCTCACTTTGGATAATGCTACCTCAAATGACAACATGCAAAATCATGTGAAAGAACATTTAGGATTGTCAAAAAATTTGTTGCTTAATGGAGAATTCTTTCATGTAAGATGTTGTGCTCATATCTTGAACCTCATTGTTCAAGATGGTTTGAAGGTTGCTAGCGATGCATTGCAAAAAATAAGACAAAGTGTGAAATATATTAAGGTTAGTGAAAGTAGAACAAGACAATTTTTTGCTTGTGTTACATTGGTTGGTGGGATTGATACATCAATTGGTTTGAGAGTGCAATTAATTATCGACGTGCCTTCACTAGTTTTAGTTTGCATGATACAAATTATATTTGGTGTCCATCAGAAGATGAGTGGAGTAGAGCTGAAATAATATGTGACTTTTTGAGACCATTCCACAATATTACGAAGTTGATATCTGGTTCTTCTTACCCCACATCAAATTTATATTTGGGGGAAATATGGACCATAGAGTGTCTTTTGAACTCTATAGTGACAAATGAAGATTTAGTGATTCAAAAAATGGCTCGCAATATGAAAGTCAAATTTGAAAAGTATTGGAGTGACTATACTATGATATTGGCATTTGGTGCTATTCTTGATCCATCTAAAAAACTTGATTTTGTGCAATGTTTATATGAAGAAGTAGATCCATTTTATGTGGAGAAGGTGAATAAGATCAAAATGAATTTGTATAGACTTTATGATGAGTATGTCAACAAGGATGATCAATCCAATGAGAGCTTTTCACAAGTGCAAGGTTCATCTTCATTAGGAGGAGGAAAAGGAAAGAAGTTTCAAGTACCCTTATACCAAGCTCGTGTAAGTTAATTTTATAAATTTTGTATAACTATTTCATTTTTCATTCTTTATATCCATGTATAGTTTAATAAATTTGGTTATTTATTTTATAGTTTGAACAACATAAGAAAACAAAGAGAACGACATCTCGTGGGAAAAGTGAACTTGATATTTATTTAGAAGCAGATCCTGAACAAATTCCACAAAATGTATGTTTTGATGTTTTATCTTATTGGAAAGATCGAAGTCGTGCATGTCCTACTCTTTCAAAGATGGCTTGTGATGTATTAAGCATTCCAATTACTACAGTAGCATCGGAATCTGCTTTTAGCATTGGTGCTCGAGTTTTGAACAAGTATAGAAGTTCTTTAAGTGATGAAACAGTTCAAGCTCTCTTGTGCACACGTAGTTGGTTACATGGTTTTGTCGGTAAGTTTTTTTTAAGTACTAGTTTTCATATACACTTTAAACTAATAATTCAATGTTATTAACATAATTAATTTTTATTGCAGAATATGATAATGAAGAAGATGATGACGAGCGAGATGCCATTGATATTGAAGATATAAAAATTTCTCATGGGGGTTTAGAATCAATTGTTCAATCAAATGAATGAGAATGTTGATTTAGTTTAATGTATGAGATTTTTAATTTCTAGTAGTTTGTCGTTACTATGAATTTAATATTTTGGCTAAACTGTATTGTTTAATATTTGGACAATTATATTATTATGATTTACCAATTCAAGACCTTTAAGGCATTTAAGTAGAAGATGCAACAAAAAATGTCACAATTGTTTACTTTATTATATTTTTGTGTGTGTAAATCAATGTTGTGAAACCCGAGTCGGACGTCAAACCGGAGGAGGTCTTGTGTGTGTAAAATGTAAATCAATGCTCACTATGTCATCAAATGCAAAAAGAAGAATAGCAAATCAAAAGTCAAAGAAGCTCATATGTGTAGTCTAAGTCTTTTAGGTAAAACGATACTTGAACTTAAAATCTCTTAACTATACGATAAAGGCTGATCTTTGAAAAACTCATGCATGAAACTAAGATCATCTGCACTAAAGCTCTGTTTTTTAAAGAGTGTAATCGATTACACAATCATGGTAATCGATTACATGCTGATAAACTAATCAGACCTGTGCATTTCACATGATGTAATCGATTACAATATACTCGTAATCGATTACAACATATTAAAAGCATCAGTTTTTTGCAGAGTAATCGATTACACAATCCTGGTAATCGATTACATGCTGATAAACTAATCAGACCTGTGCATTTTACATGATGTAATCGATTACAATATACTCGTAATCGATTACAACATGTTAAAAGCATCAGTTTTTTGCAGTGTAATCGATTACACAATCCTGGTAATCGATTACATGCTGATAAACTAATCAGACCTGTGCATTTTACATGATGTAATCGATTACAATATACTCGTAATTGATTACAACATAAATAATCCGTGCCGGCCCGCCGCAGCCCGCAGCCCGCTTTGGGCGGGTTTGGGCCTCATTTTTAGCAACATAAAATATAACCGGGCTTTTTAGCCTGGCCCGTTTTAGCCCGAATCAAAAGCGGGCTAGCCCGAACCCGTCCGGGTAGCCCGTTTTGACAGGTCTAGCTATAAGCCATAAACATAAACATGTGGTATTTCTCATGGCTTAACAAGTCAATAGTCCATCTTAAAAAAGTCAATAGTCATATTCTTAATTTCTACATGTAGTAGAATTGTATACTTACTCTAATTTTTAAGAGTGTAATATCTATATACTAATATTGTAAAAATTTATACACTGCGAGTGCATCATTCGTCATTCATTTAACTTACTTTTATTTAAGATTCAACGATAATTGATAATTAATGATGAACGATATAGTTATAGTGTAAAAAATTCTTACACTATTAGTGTATGCATTATTTTCTCAATTTCTAATTGGCTCGTTTTCTTATCTTAATCTTAACGATTAAATGAGAAATCTCAAGTCAATATCTATGAAACATGTAACTTCACCGTCCATCTTAGAATAAAAATAAAAAATAGAAATGTTTAAGTTTCTTCGTTAAGCAAATGAAAAAATTAATAATTTTTTAGGAAATGACTTCAAACATTAGTGTCCTCTAATGACCAAATAAGAATTCACATTGTCATCTATATATTCAAAACAAGTACAACTCAACAATTCATATCATACATATTTTATTTAAATATACAAATGAATAAAGATGAGATATTACATATGGTAATCATCAAATATAAGATAAGTGAAAGAAGAAAAAATGTATGCAATAATATGAGTTTTATACAGAGTCATTGTATCATATACAAGTCATGTTTTACTTTTATTGACTCTTTAAAAAAGTAATACAAATGAATTATGAATGATATATTAACTGTGTATAAATTTTTATACTCACATACCCTCTCTTTCAAGAGGATTAACGACATGCCAAGCCTTGGTAAGTTTCTTAGCTTTGCATCGAATTAAACCACATGTTTCACCACTTATGCAGACCCTCGTCAATTCCTTTGAGTTTCATGCTTGTGAACGTACTCCCCATGTGGGATACTTAACACATTAGCTACAACATTGCACGGGTCGATATGCACAACGCCTAATATCATTCATTTATGGCTAGGACTATTGGGGTATCTAATCTCATTTGCTCCTCTAGCTTTCGTCTCTCAGCGTTAGTGTTGGCCCAGCATAGTGCTTTTGTTGTTGATGTTCTATCCCATCTCTACGCATTTCACCGCTCTACCGGAAATTCTCTCTGCCCCGACCCTCTCTAGGGTTGTTCCCTTGGATTTGACGGCGAACTTAAAAAACCACCGACGGATGCTTTACGCCCAATCATTTTAGATAATGCTTGCATCATCTGTCTTACCACGACTGCTAGCAAAGAGTTAGTCGATCCTTATTCCCTGAATACTGTGATTGCTTCTTCTCCTGGAAAAGAAGTTCATGACCCGTATGCCTTCTACCTCCATGCGACATTGCTCCATCATGCTTTCACCCATTGCGGAAAATCCTCCACTACTGCCTCCTGTAGATGTTTGGGTTGTGTCTCAGCCCTAGTGTGGCTGATCGTCCTCTCGGACCAACTACTGATCATCGCCTTGGTAAGTTATTGCCCAATGCAAAAAAGATGCACGTTAGGTCTTTAAAGAAGTTCAAATCGTTTTGATAATAATAAGTTTGATTTGTTTTACCGAGTAGGTCTATGGTTCGAGTCCATATGACCCTATTATTTAATATGTTTCATTGCTCACTAATATATTTTGAGTACTAAATACTCTAATCTCATATTAGTAAAAATATTCATTCTATTATTATATTATTATATCAATTAGCAGTAAAACAAATTTCTAAATTTTTATTAAAATAGGTTTATATTAGTTAAAAAAGTTACTAATATTAGTATTCTTCTATACTACTTTAAATAAGTTATATAAAAAATAATGCTTTAATATTTTAATATAAAAGTAAAGCAGCTATATATCTTATATAGACTATGTATCATTATTATTTATATTATAATATATAATTATGTTTGTATATTAAATCTAATTATTTAATATAATTTAATATATATATATATATATATATATAAAATAAGTCTTTAAATTTAATAGAAATTAATATGGAATTTATTAATATCAATTATGAATGACTAATTGGGCACATTTTCTACATTCATGTTTTTACTCTACGAATATGATATTTTTTGGGCATTTCTAATAATCTCAAGCATTATTATGATTTTAGCATTTTTAAATTCTGGAATTTTAGCTCCGATTGTATGGGAATAGAGAAACTCTCGAGTTATGAATCGAGAATTTAACCAATGGGCGATTCTTGGTTACAATTTAGAATGTGTTATTATATGTTTGCTTTAGTTTTTGTTGTTTTTTATGTTGAAACAATTTTTCTTTATCCATGGGCAATTAGTTCCGATGTATTGGGGGTATCCGTATTTATAGATGCTTTAATTTCCGTGTTTATCCTAATTGTTGGTTTAGTTTATGCATGGGGAAAGGGCATCAGAATGGTCACTACATTTTCCTCATCATTTACTAAAATAGTGATTTCATTATTGCTTATTCTAACAAAATCATCCACGAGAGTCATCGTTAACCATTGGTCATTAAGGCGTACTCTCAAAATACTTATATTTATGGCTATGACAATAGGTAATACTCTAATTTGTCCACTATTAGTTACACTATTTCGGAAACCCAAAGACTCAATCATATATGTAAAATACAGGACATCCAATCCTAGCAGGAAAATGGGGGAAACATATACTCAATTTCAAGTGAGTAAACATAATTTCATATTTGATCTCATAGATACATGGATAAATATAAAATTCTGTTCAAATCTGTATTCGATGAAAGTCATATGTACAGCTTGGAGAGAGATCTTTCATATCTTTCAAGATCCACCTTACAATATGGGGCCAAAATATGTTTTGAATAGTATGAGATAATTTATTGGATAGAATGCGTTAGATAAAATATGATGATGTTCAAAGTAAACTAAAGTAATTCTTGAATAGCTATTTTGACTTTGTCATAAAATATTTAAAAAATTGTTTATAATTGACAATCACTATAATGGATATCATTTTTTAATCATGACCGAACCAATATTCTTAACTATGACCAATGTTATAGCAATAAATATAATTTATCTAGAACATTCACTTCATAGATTAGTTCAACAATCAATGTTTCTGTTTTTATCAACAACTTCTAAGAAATTTGATTCAAATAATTTTTTATTTTTTCCATTCCAGGATGAGTAATATTATATTCTCCTACTAGATCATTTTACTAATTCTCCTACCCACAAAAAAAGTGACATATGTCACAAAGTGATACTTTATTTATTAGTGATTGGTTTACAAGTGACATATGTCACATTCTTGTGGATATGAGAATAAGTATGAGGATATATCATTTTCCTTTCAGAAAAGTATTTGTAAACCTTAAATATTATTTTAATTTCAAAATCTATTATAATAAAATGGATATTTTTTAAGATTCAATCACAACATGGTTTTCCCGATTGGTAAGCATACCATGCAGTTAGTAATATAAAACAAATATCAATTTGTACAATTCTTCATCAATATTTATTATTTTGATCTAACTAAATATGTAATATCCATTTTATTTTGTGAACAATTAGATGAAGCAATAATTTTCTCATTTTATATTAAATATAAGTGGGACATAATCATGTTCCTAACCATTTACAAGCAATAAAATAGACATATGAAAGTTATGATGGTTACCAAACAATTACACCATAAAGAAGAGAAAACGTGTAAAAACAAAATGATAAGAATCTCAATTTTTTACTATTTTTTTTAGACATAAATGACGAGCACTCAATTTCATACATCACTAATTATTCAACATCTCCTTCACATTTGGTATACAAAAAATTGATAATTAAATAATTAAATAATAAAATGGCACCACTCTTAAACCATCGAAATTTGGGCATGGCTTATCCAGAGATGAGTTCATCTTACGAAAATGGATATTCTATTTTTGAATAGTCAATAGTCAATATTCTTCATTTCTCCATGTCATAGAATTGTAAAACTACATGGCACGTCCTCATATCTTAATCATAACAATATGAAAAAAATTATTATTATGTTGGTATTAATATGGAAAATTATCAAGTAATTCATGATTAATGAATTTAATCATATTTTCATTATTTATTTGAAATAAACTACCTTAATTTAATGGAATGTGATCGTTTGCGGTATTTGAGAGTCCAGTAGTAGGCTCATATTCTAACACATGGCATACACAAAATCTAAAAGTTATAAATATATTCATTGTTTCGTATTCGAGTATCGAAGAGTCCAATAACGGAGAAGAGAGAATCTGATTTCTAATTTAAGTCTATCATTAATGATGCTTATTTGACTGGTCAAATACCCTATAATAATTTCTTTTACAATGTTTTAATTTGCAAATACTCATAATGGAATACGGAATAAACTAATTTAAGTCTATCATTAATTAGTGAGACTTCTTTCAGAGAGGAGAATTCTTTTTTCTTTGATTTTTAAGGATAAAACTGTAATCTTAGTTTAACTTATAAGGATACAAGTGTCATTCTATTTAATGTTTTCTTTATTTTTTCACATAATTTTCATCTCTATTAATGGAAATGAGTCTTACACATCATTATGATGTTGATTTGACCAGTCATAGTAATTTCTTTTACAATGTTTTACCTTGCAAATAATCATAATGAAATAGAGAATAAAATATATCATCATATTAATAGATAAGTTGTGTTCTCCAACACTAACATGATGGCAAGTGTTCTATTTATTTAGTTGTTAGAAATATTTTTATAGAAAATAATTAAATATATATCTCAAATAACTATCTCATATAATAAGATAATTTTAAGCATTGAAAGTGGAATCTAAGCCTATGACAAATCTTTGTTTTGCTTATGAAAAGTCTTTGTATTAAACTTTAATATTTCGTGTATGACTAATATTGGTACTAGAACTGCAGTTTCGTGCAAACTTACATAGACGTATAATTGTTCTTATATTTTATGAGTCCCTCTATGTCATTTATATATTTAAGGAAGTGTCATTTATAAAGTAGATAGATAGAGAATTCAGAAGCAAGTTATAGAAGTAAGAAGACATTAATAAGATAAATGGGGTGTTTTTGCTTTGGACAAAAGAAGAAACATAATAAACATGGGAACAATGTTGTCACTTACGGTGATGGAGGACCTCAAGGTTATCAACCTAAGCCAAAGAAAAAGAAGAGTACTTTTCTGAATAATTTCTCATCAGCCGGTGGCGGTGGAGGAGGCTGTGGTGGTGGTGGCGGTGGCGGTGGCGGTGGAGGAGGCTGTGGTGGTGGTGGCGGTGGTGGAGGGTGCTAATACAGTATGAAACTATCGACTGGCTAGGTGGTGATACACCAAATATGACATAGTTTATATAATACATTATTGTATATTTATACATAATATTTGTGAGTGTTATTTGATAGGTTATAATATTTGATAAATTTCAATAAGAGAAAGAGAATGATTATTTTGTATTAGTAGGTTAAGATTTCTCGTTAGTGCTAATGCTTATTAGGGTGCATTAAAGCGAAACATGATTTCTTGCTACTTATCACTATGTTTATTTTCATGTACCTTCATGCTAGTACTCTATCATAAATAAGGATATCTATTTTCCATTATATCTTCAATGTATCCTTATCCATTCTTTAAATTTTAAGCCTTCTTAACAAGAATACTGATTAAATAGATAAGGAGAAAATATATTATTTCTCACAACTTAAAAGGTTAGGTTTTAAATTGGTTTCGTTTATCTCAATTACGGGAAAATATGATGTATATTAACACAATTGCATGCCGTAAAAAACCTAATATTGCTGCAAAATTGTGTCTTTGAAGGGCAATTTAAATCATTGGTTAAGATTTAACGTCTCATCTAATTTTTAGGGCGTATAATTTCCAAATGTTTTTGTTTCCGGTCTTTCAAGAGGCGAGGAACAAAAAAAAAACCGTGGAGACAATAAAAATAATAATAAGTTTTCAAATTTAATAGAACTTAATATGGAATTTATTAATAACGAATACGAATGACTAATCAGGTATATTTTTCATATTCATAGGAGTACATTTACGAATATGATATTTTTTTGGTATTTCTAATAATCTCAAGTGTTATTCCGATTTTAACATTTTTAAATTCTGGAATTTTAGTCCCAATTAGCAAGGGACAAGAGAAACTCTCGAGTTATGAATCGGGAGTATAAACAATGGGCGATTATTGGTTACAATTTAGAATCCGTTATTATATGTTTGCTCTAATTTTTGTTGTTTTTTATGTTGAAACATTTTTTCTTTATGGACAATTAGTTCCGATGTATTGGAGGTATCCGAATTTATAGAAGCTTTAATTTACATGCTTATCCTAATTGTTGGTTTAGTTTATGGCGAAAAAGATATTAGAATGGTCATAATTCTTGCATATTTAGACAATAAAAATATAATTACTTGTATGATTTAGATTCAATTGTTTTTCTTTTACCTTCCGCTTTACTCAAGTAAGCTTAAGCTATTTCAAGGGTTGATTAATATATCACTACCTTTTCCACATCATTTACTAAAGGGTTGATTAATGCTCATGAGAACCATCATTAACCATTAGTCATTAAGGCGTATTCTCAAAATACCTATATCTACAACTATGGCAATAGGCGCATGATTGGGTAATAC